TTCTGATGATACTATGGATGGTGCACCTGGTTTCTCTAAAAACAGTAAAGAAAAACTTCGTCTATCCACTGTTCTATAATCGAATCAAAATTTAACGGTATAACATATCGATAACGAACACCTTGAGTAAAGTGTTAAAATATCCTGCTTACTTGATAGAGCCAAATCAATGGTCGAAGCTGAGAAAGCTTGCATGGTGTTTTTAGGAAGACACTGAAATTAAGCCTTTGATAGAGCTTTTTGTTTTTAGCCTACGGTTTGATTATTTCGAGAACAATAAGCCACTCGTCGAGACAAGTGATACTCCATTAAATGCTGTTGGGTTACAATGTCGCCATTGCATGGGTTTTGCCAAAAAAAAAATCTTAGAACTGATGCTTGGGAAGTGTTAAAGCTGTCGTAACTCTGATTGCATGTGGTTCTTACTGTATCATTCAAGTTTGCGAAATAAAAATGGAAGTGCACCAAAGGTCTATCTTACTGTACTGATTTCACACGCCTCTTAACCCTGTCAACATTCCTTTGACTCATTTCGCATCCAATTTGCTAGGTTACATATAAAATTTTGATCAAACTAAATTTGTATGATAATAGTATTGCGCTAATTAAGAAACGTTGATGTTTTCTAGTCCCCTAGTTGGCGCGCAGCAGAAGAGAAACGAAATCATAGTTTTAGGCAGTTCCAGTTTTTTTTTTTYCCCCTGAGAAATGCTTTCCAAGATGACATGATTGACGCTTTGCCACAAGTAAATCTTACTTATCTGTGTTATTTTTACTATTCTGTCGTCAGAGGGACTCAGTCCATTGGCAGCAATGCACTTGTAATCACCAAAATCTTGATCTTCCCTGAGCGTCACTTGCGCTTTGTTTTCTCTGGCTCTGATTCTACGAATTTCCATTCCATTTGGTTTGTACCAGGTGAGTATTGGTGTGGGAACACCGTCTGAAAGACACTTCAAAGTCACCGTCTGACCAATACTAGACTTACTGGATGAAGTGGTCACATTTTCTATAATTGGAGGGTCTGCAAAAAGAACAAGAAGTCATTTGAGTTACAAAAGGGAACCAACACTTGCTAGGAATATTGGAAACCTCTTCAGACTAGTATTAGCACATTTATTTGTTCGGATTCCTAGCTGATTCCCTTTCTCTGTTACCATTACTTGCAAGTGGAACTTTGATTTACAAAGCGTCATATATGTCTATTTCAAGAGTTATTTTAGGACGTAATTAATAAATTCTGAGATGATACTGTCTTTTTTTGTTTGTCTGTAATTTCAAAATTTTGGTGACAGTATTTCATAACAGTGCTTTTTATCAAAAGTTGAACGTCTTTAGCATTTACATAGACACAGTCTCATCGCACCTACATGCACTAAACATGTGGCCATCTGCTGTGAACTCTTCGTTAAAGGAAAATACCGTCCATAAATTATAATAGTAATGGTAATATTAATGGTTAGCTTTTATAACATGGTAAGAACCTTTAAGCTCGTCCCCTTAACTTCAGAGGCACCTTAAATGGATTATAATTTCCACAGGTCTCGTAATTATCGATTTTTACAACTAACAGGCAACGCAATTTGTGCCCTATCTATCAGAATTCTATTGATAATAATCCTATAATTGATATAGAAAACTCTGATATTACTTACAGTAGACCAGGAGTACAGTGTGATTGGTTATGGTGTCAGCCGTGTTGTTTGCTACACATAAATACCATCCACCATCTGTTCTTTTAAGACTGTTGAACTTCAAAAGTGCCGCTCCCTTCCCTGAACTTATCACTGTTCCGTCTCTGATCCACGTAACAGCTGGTTCTGGAATTCCGGATGCTGTGCAGTTGACGTTAACGAAGGCTCCTTCCCGATAACTTCCCTGCACTGATGAAAGACTTATCTTTGGTGGCTCTGCAAGAACTAACCGGTAAAGAGTAGGTGAGTGGCATCCATACCAAGTACATAACTATCATATTCTACCTGGTTATTTTTTGGGC